TATTTTTCACTTTGCTTTGCACATGTGTGTGTAAGTCTGGCTATTTTGTTTATCTCTGACCTAGCTCTGTGCTGCAGTGCAGCACGTTTAGAAGAGCTGTCCCTGGGTCTTGCAGGATTGTGCATGTGCCTGTTGCTGTGTGTGTCACCTGCAGAGGGGACAGTGGGTGAGGGTCTCATGGTGCCAGGCTCATGGCAAACAGGGCTCCCCACTGGGTTTGCTGCTGCTGTGTTATTTTTTGGAGCCCTGAGAAGGCAGAGAGCTGCAGTGCCCGTGGGCTGCTCTGAGTGATTTTGGGCAGCTCAGAGAGCCCTGTGGCTGTGCTGCCCCTCATCCCTTCCCTCCACAGCCCTGGGCTGGGCAGCTTCTGGTGGCAGCAGGATTGTCCCCTCACTGCTGGCCTTGCCGTGTGTGTGCAGGGAGGGCACAGGTCACACACAGCCAGGGCACAGCAGAAGGTGAGCAGGGCAGTGATTTCCTCACTGTGGGCTCTCCATGGCCGGCTGGTTCCTTTCCACACAACGGCTTCCAAGAGGCACAACCGGTTGTGTTTGGGTGGATGTCTAACACGGTGCACTGATGTTGACTTTGTAAGAATTTTGACTCCGGTGTAATCATCTCTGTGCAAGTCCTCTGGCAGCATCAGGTTGTTTGTTTGTTTACAATCGTTGTAGGTTGTTTTTTTTTCAAAATCTTTTTTCCTCAGCACTAACAAGTCAATGCATATTCCCTGTGTGTTCCTGATCCCATATTGGGCTTTTCTTTCCTTGGGGAAATGGCCCTGACTCCATAAGCAGAGACTTTAAAATGCTGTAGAACAGCTGTGCTCAACACGGCAAGGACTTTGTTTACTTCCACATTATTTATTCATGTATTCTTTTTCTTTTTCCAAGCCCCCTTGCTCCCAAGTAATGGCGCTTTCTTTTTGATCTTTTAATTTTTTTCTTGAAACTCCTTTGATGGAGAATTCAGCCTTTTCTACGAAACACCACATTCAGGGCTTTTATGACTCATTTGTAGCTGGAATACCAACTGGGGCAGTACAACAGGCTTGGATGCAATAAAATGAATCACCATGACAAGTTCTACGTAAGAGCTGCTTGGTAAATGCACTGATACAACAGAATGCCAAATGAAACAATTCCTTGCTTTCTTCCTTTGGCCTGAAGTTATTGTCCTGAAGATGAAAGAAATTGATTGTTAATTCCTTAGACATGTTAAAAAAAGCTGAGCATGCATCAGGAGTGGGTGCTGCTTGCATTGTGCTGTGGTGTTGCAATCTGTGTAGAAAATTGGAATATTAGAAAATAGATGAGCTTGATCACTGGCTTTAGCATTCAGGTTAAGGTCTACATTGGCAACACATTTTTGGGAAAGTGTTCTTGTGGGTGAAATGAATAGGATATTTTTAATAACTTCTCATTAGTGGGTTTGTACTGGTAGGAGACAGGGCTCCATTTCATTTTATATTTCTTTTCCAGCTGTGGTCAGTAGCATTTGATACTGCAGAGGAGAGAGAGGAAACCTCACAGCAGATTTGGAAAGGGATGGGATTCTTTCTGAAGCAGCTCTGTGACCTGAGTAGCTCCTCTGGAGGCTGCCAGGCTTTCTGGGGTGCAGCAGAGCAGGGAATGGCAGTGCCCCTCTCTGCCCCTTCCCCAGTGCTTCAGCTCCTGAGCCAGCACAGTGGTCTGAGTGAACTGCAGCAAATGTCTCCATCTCTGATACACTGCTGAACTTTGCTTTACTCAGCAAGAATCATTAGAAGGTATTTTTAATTAACTGCACGTGATCTGTGCTTCAGTGATGGGAGCTTAACTGAAAACTTAATTTGGCCAAGCTGTGCTTATGCAGAGTTTAATACAATGATCCAGGCACACACGTGTGTGCTCCTTGCTGGCACTTCCTTCTGTCTCCCATCTTTGTCACCAATGCCCTGTGTCACTTATTGGGCTCCAGTTTTGTAACTTGAGAGTCTTGAAGCTGGAAACTGCTTAGAAAAATAGATTTTCTTTTTCTTCGTGAAAATATAAAAACATTAGAGCTGGACAAGGTATATCTCAACTTCTTTGGTAACATCTCTGAAGAAAACGAGTTCTGGCAGCTGCTTCACTCTGCTGGTGGAGGGATACCGAGGTTCTGGGGCTTCTGCAGGGTTCTCAAAACCAAATAAACCACGTGAATCAGGTGATGAGACTCAAAGCATAGTCTGAAAATAGTTTGAAATGACCATCAGAAAGTAGTGAGACAATGTGTTGGGTGTATTTTCCCTGGCATTAATAGTGTTGGTATTGCAGATAAGGCCTTCTAGTGAATTCCCAGAAAAATGCCCACAGAAAGTCAAATATATTCTCTGCTTGTCCAGGCTTTCATTTATTGTTGGCATTGTTCAGGGGTTAGGTACAAAGCTGGTGCCAGACTGTGGCCTGGCTCCTTTGTTCTGGACTACATAAATGTTTTGTTACCTTTTTCTGTATTATCTATTATCTAAGAAGTCTTGTAGCAGATCTGCCTCTTCCCTCTCATCTCCTGCACTGTGGTCTAAACTAACTCCTGAAATAATTTTACATCTTCTTGCATGCATGGAAGAGAAATGACTTAGGACTCATCACATATGATCCCCTTCAGTAAAGCTAGAGGAAGAATGGGCCCTCTAATCTGTCCTTTATTGAGGAATAATTATATTCTGCAAAGAAAAGTCATTGGAGAGAAAGTGCTGCAGAATATAAACCTGGAGGAGTTAGCAGTTAGGAAACTAAAAGAATCATGAGCTTTTTTTACAAGATGGAAAGTATTTTTTTCTCTCCTCTTCTGGTTTCTGAGCCTTTAATAAACCTGCAAGTCATGGTTTTAAGCTTTTTCTTGCTATTTATTTTTATTTCTCCACAAGCATGAGAACTTGAGTTATCTTTAAAATAAACAAAACAAAAATCCTACAACTGAGATCTTTGGATTCTCACGGAGTCTTACAGTTCCAGCAGCTGGAGCTTTAGGAAAAATAGGAAGTTTGTAATAATAGTCACTCCACCCAAATGGGTTAAAGTTTGGACTTCCATGGCATTGCACATTTCAATTAAATGCAAGCTGCAGTAATGGGAGCAAGGTCTGGAGCTGAATTCCCATTGCACATGTTTATTTACATGGACAAGAATTCAACTGAGGGAGTGCAAAGGAAGTGGACAGCATTAGGACGTGTGAATGTGGAAGAAATTCATTCTTTGGTTATTGTTTCCTTCCTTTCTTCCTTCTTAGTGGCTCTGCTGTTCCATCTGTGTTGCACCTCTGATTCATCCTGTTGCCTTTTCCTTGTCCTTGCTTTTAGAAATAGAGAATTTCAGGAGTTCCTTATCTTCTAAACCGAAAGGATCTTTTTTTTCTCCGTGTGTTGTGCCTTGTGCAGAGCGAAGATGTTCTTACGGTGCTCAGGGAGTGGGGAGGGACACGATGGCAGCAGTGCCCGGGGCTCTGCATGGCCGGGCAGCAGAAGGAGCCTGGAGGAGATTTCCTTGCTGCAGTGGCTCACGTTGCCTCCTTTGCCTTCTGGGGCACATGTTTGGTGTGTTTCTGTCTGGGTTTTGGTCTGTGCCAGGAGCAGCTGGGGAGCTCATTCCAAAATATCTTCTGCTGAGCACGGTTTTTTAGACAGATTTGCCTTCAGCCCGTAGCTGCCAGCTCCTCCCCATCCCACCTGCAGCAGGGACTGGCACCGGGCACTGCCCTGAGGTGCCTCATCCCTCCTGAGCTTTGGAATAGGAACAACCCCCGTGGGCACACGGTGCTGCTCAGAGAGGAACCAGTGCCCGTGCCCACCATAGCTGGGCAACAATCTGGACAGTTGTAGAAAAGCAGGACAGAGCAGATCCCAGTGAACGTTTGTGGACAGAGCAGATCCCAGTGAACATTTTGGAACAGAGCAGATCCCAGTGAACATTTTGGAACAGAGCAGATCCCAGTGAACGTTCTGGAACAGAGCAGATCCCAGTGAACGTTTTGGGCTGTACAGAGCAGTTCCCAATGAATATTTTGGGACAGAGAGTTCCCAATGAATATTTTGGGACAGAGCAGTTCCCAGTGAACATTTGTGCCCCCTTTGCTGGAGGGGGCACTGCTGCCCTCAAGCTCTCTGTTCTTCAGCCCTGCTGAGTGCCTGGCAGAGCTCCCCTGTCCCCAGCACAGAGCAGTGTCTGAGGTCTCCTGGGGGCTGACACAAACTCCTGCCCTGCTGGGGACTGGGTCTGTGGCACTCAGCTGAACTGGGACCGTGTGATGGAGTTGGTGCATTTAATGTGCTCTGACATGCAGGTGTTTGAACAGATACCAGGAACTCTGCAGTATTTCATTTGCCTTCACTTGGAAATCCAGCAGAGAAATCCAGTTTTGTGTACTTGAAGTGAGTTCCTTCCTTTTGCTCATGTGTAAGTGTTCTTCCTAAAACTTGAAGAAACAGCAATGACTATTCCAAATATTAAAAAATCAGGCCCAACCAAGAAAAGCTTTGTGTTCCCAATGTAATGTCATTAGCACGAGTCCTTCTATCCAAACCCTCCTGGTAGTTGGGACTTTGTATGGTTTTGTGTTTCTCATTTTTATTTTGCCATTTACCTTTTTGCTGCTGTGAGTGCCTCCCAAGTGTTTCCATTCCCTTGAGGGGAACTGTCTGCATAGTTGGTGAAAGATAATCTTGTGCATAAAGCTGCTTTTCCTCGTGGGAAAAGAATTTTCTATTTGGTTTGTTGTTTTGATTATGGGGTTTTTGATTTTTTGGGTTTTTTTCATAAGTGTTTCAGTTGTAGTGCTCTGTAGTTCAGAATTGGTCCATATTAAACTTTTTAATAGGGATGTCTCAGACCATGACTTTTGTACTTTTTAATTAAATGAAGGAAAAAAGTCCATATGTTGCCACCTGTAAATATTACCTGACTAAACTTGCTGTGGATATTTCACAAATCCCAGCATGTATCAGAGCTGTGGACTAATCTAAGAGAAGGCTGATTAGCACAACTTGTTAACTCTCTTTGGTGCTCTGGATTTGGGACTTAAAATATTTGGAAATGGCAGCAAATAGCTCCCAGTCCTGGCCTTTTCACTTCCCCTATTTCAAAGACCTGCCAGGAATAGCACATTTTATATGATGCCAAATTTATAAATTCCTCAGACCACTCGGTCTGGGAGGAATGCACTAATGGTGTGGCTGACTGAGTTTTAATCTGGGATGTTTTTAATTTTCAGGCCACGTTAATTTATTTTCATCTGAAAATTACAAGATTGGCTTCAGTTCTCCATTTTATTGCTTCTTTTAATACTTCTTATTTGCTTTTTTTTTTTTTCTTAAACAATTAGGTCTTTCCAGGGTGCAGTCACACTTTCTTTTTCTGTCTTTGATAAGTGATGAAGAAGCTGTGTGTTTCAGTAGACTCTGAATCCCTTTGAGATGCTCAGATCGATGTGTGTATCCTGGTTGCTTTGTGTTGCAGATGATTTTGATGCCAGCAGCTGTTTATTAACCATCCAGCCAGGGCTTATCTCCACATTGTTAGCAGCTATTCAGAACTGCTGTGTTCTGTGGGATCCAGTTCTGGGGCTTTTACTGTTTCATGGCCCCCTACTCACTGGAAAATAAAGCAGGCTCCAAGCTGAGGGAGTGATGGAGCACCCTGTGGTATTTTTGTTTTTCTTTGTCATAAAGTCTGGTTTTGGAAATTTCCTTTTATTTTGTTCAAAGGCTTTTATTTTACAGTAATGCCGCAGACACTCACTGTCACTGCTGTATCAACTTCTGGTGTTGAGCAACCGACTGAAATTGGTGTTTTCAGCCTCGAACTGAATGGGAGATAACAATTGTCTGAGTGCCTCTCCCGAGTTCCCAGTAAAGAATTTCCATTTCTGGATAAGATTTCGATCATATTGGAGCTCTTCATCCTCCTCTCACGGAGTTGTTTTCTGTGAAATTAACTCATTTCATACAAATATGTTGGGTTTTAGTTATGGTTTCTTCCCAGTATCTCTTCTCTTCCCACCTGCTGTAACAGGAAAATATCTGTGACAAAGCCTCCCTGGCAATCCATTTAGCCACTCATTCCCTGGGATTGGGAGAGGCTTCTTAAAGCAGCTCTAAGTCCAGGATCTCCTCAGAAAGGGCTGTGATAAACCCATGGTTCCTGCAGGATTCCACCTGGGGTTTGTGCTGGTTTATCACACGTACTTGTTTCCCCTCCACCTCAGCAGGTCCTTTTCCAGCTCTCCATATAGGCTCATGTCTGTTTAAATGATTTCACAGAAAGGAGCTCTTGGCTGTTTTTGGAGCCTCCTGGGTCGCTGTTGATGCAGAGGCTCCTGCTGGTGCCGGTTCAGCCTCTCGGGCTGGTGGAGAGGGACCAGCCCTGCTCTGTTCAGTCCCCCCAGGGCAGGGCAGGTGCAGAACACGAGCCCTGTGTCACTGAAACCACCTGGGCAGGCTGCAGGCATGGGGAGCCCGTGGCCTCAGGACAAATTGAGGTTCTTTTCCTCTCTAATGGCATATCCTGGTTTTGTAAGGATTCTGGTGCTGAGGCCACTAGAATAGGTGAGCAAAACAATGTTGTCTGTGCTTTTGTCCTCTGGAAATTGCCTGTTTACAATACATGGAAGATTTAGTGGAGCGCACCGTGACCCTGCACGGTAGGTAATTATTTCAGTGCCTCCATGGCCCCTGGTAAATGCATTTGTGTGCTGCCTGAGCTCTGGGCATGGACTCATTCCTTCTCCTGTCTGCTCAGGTGACAATGCAAGGGAAGAAACACCACTGGCAGCAGGGCAGGACAGCCAGGACATTTGGGAAAGCTCTTCAGCTTCATGCTTGTCTCAGTTGTCCATTGCCAGTTTGTACCCTGTGGGAGCTGGGGGGGTTTCCATGTCGTTTTTCTCCCTGGAGAAGTCTTAGAAGACTTGTCATTGTATATTGGTTTTGTATGTAAATACATAAACACTGCAGCAGTGATGGCAAGAAGGAATATGCAAGTTACAGCCCCTTTTTTCAGAGATTTCAGGCCAGTCCCTCACCTCTGGAGTCTGGGGGCATATGTGTCTCAAGCAAAGAATAAATTCCTTGAGTGCTGGCTGGAGCACTCCTGAAAATCATCATCACTCAGGTGACAGTGCTAAAGCAATACCAGTGTCAAAGTCTGCATGCCAGGAAAGAAGCCAGCCAGAGTCTGTGAGGCACAGCTGCTTTATGACCCCTCCTGGGACAGCCTGCTGCCCTTCTGAGCTGAGAAAAGGCAGGGGAAGGGTTCCTGTATCCCAGGACCCTGAACTGGTGGTGCCTCAGCCCCAGCCTAGGGGAGACCCTGCCATGCAGAGCAGGAGCTTTGGGTTGTCACTTTGCTGATATGTGCTGTACAGACAATTGTTTGCATTGTCATTTGCCTAATTTTTTCCCCCTGACTCTTCCTTCTTTTTAGACATCTAGATACAAAAGCTGAAACCAAGACCACAGGGCTCACAAATCCTAAGTCAATTAATTTCTTTGTTGTACCACCATCTTTAATTTTTTTTCCTCCCTAACTAGTTTAAATAAAGGTGAAATCAAACAGGAAAGGATGCTGTTGTAATTTATTATCTTTAATACAAGCATGGAATTGTCTTATCCCACTCTTCCCATGCTCAGGAGCAAAGAAAGCAGAGCCAAAAGGGTTGGGTCAAGTCAGCAGAATTGTTTTACCTCTGTACCTCTGCCATTGTGTGTGCTCCTCTGCATGGAACTTGGTGCTGTATTACAGCAATTGACAGTGTGACAGAAAGTGTTCAGAAGCCCTGTTTGGAGTCAATGTTTAACTTTTGCTCAATGCTGTATTGTTCTAGCCAAAGAGCAGCACAGGCATGTCACCTTTGGGTGCCTTTCCAGCATGCACACCCCGTTCCTCTGCCTTCATTACCCTGGGTGCCATCAGGGAACATTGGGTCCCCAACTGAGAGACAGACACAGAGCTGAGCCAACACCCTGCAGAGTCAGCTCCATCCCTGCTGAGGTTTTCATGGCCCCTGGAGGAGTGAAGCTGTCCCCTCACACATCTCTTCCTGCTGCCTGTGTTGTTTTTCCAGCTCCTTCTCAAGAGATCTGGGGTGAGCAGAGAGACCACGGGATTGTTTTCCCTTCTGCCCAGAGGAGACCTGAGGCTGGATTGTCTGGGTGAAATAGAGCAGTCAGAGGCTGAGCTGGGCTCGTGTAGATTGGGAGCATCCCTGAGGAGCTCTGATGGAGCAGATCAGCAGAGCTGAGTCTCATTGAGATGGGGAAAGCCAGGATGCTTCAGAGACCATAAAATAGAGCTGCTATTTCAGGAAAGGGAGAATGTTTGGTCTAGCCAGTGGTTGCCTCTAAAAATACTTCAAATATCAAAAACAGGACAGGCTATATGCATATTTACCAAAAGGAGAAAATGAACCACCAGGCATCTTGCCTTTCAGAACATTTCACTGGAGGTGAAAAACATTGTTATTCTCCATGTCTGTCAAAATTTTCCATGACAAAACTTGATTGGAATAAGCAACTGTGAGCCCAAAAGTGCATCCAGACCTGGAAGCAGATGTGTGGGGATAGGTCTGATGCAGAGGTTTCTGCTTTTCCCTTCTGCTGTCAGGCTGTTGCTTCCAATTTTCTGGAAGGGGATTGAGGAACAAAGCACGTCCATGAGCAGAGGCCACAGTAACTGCCCAGAGCAAAGAGCTCGATTGTGAGGCACCAAAATGAGTGCTCATAAAAATGGACAGGTCTGTGCTTTGAGCCAGAGCTGTTTGGTATGATCAAACAATGCCCTCGAATAGGGAAAAAAATAAAAGTATTCCTGACTGAAGAGCCTGTACTCATGGCAGAATCGAGCACTCCTGAAAGAGGGATTGGATGTGAACATGACAGTGAAGATCAGAACCTTCACCACATCCACCCAGTGCAGGCAAGGAATGTAGGGAAAATGATTATGGAATTTCCATCAAAACCAAATCTTAGTGACTTAGGGGTTTTTTGTTTGTTTGTTTGTTTTGCTTGTGGGTTTTTTTTTGTTCTTCAAGCTGATGAAATAGTGCTTCAAAGTGATTGGTTTTTTTCAAGGTAGTAAGTGTGGTTTTTGTAAAATGACAAATTTCATCAGGATCAAAAGAGTTTTCAAACAACACAGCAAAGTCGTCTAGAAGAGTTTTACCTTTTGGTCAAGAAGTTAAAGCAAGCACAACGTTTTACAGCTTGCTTTTTCCTGGGAATTTGGTGGTGAATAGTCCACATTAGGAATCCAAACCTTACCCTTCTGCAGCAGTGTAAATACCACTGGAACAGGGCACTCTTTTAAGTTGGGACATTTTTATTTTTGGCTCTTCTTCCTCATGAAAGCCAGGCTGTGTAAGCCTCAGTAACATGCATATGATCACAGTATAATGACATTTCTCGTGCTCCTTGCTGTTCTGGAGTCAGCTGGTGGAGCCTGGATGGGGAGTGGATTTATCCACGTGGCTACTGCAGGTGTAAGTTCTGGGTGCACAGGCTGAAAGCATTCTGAATTTGTGTAGGGATTTGCAAAGGCCTTGAGGTGCTGGAAGCTTTCTTCCTAATGTAGTTAATCATTGCATCTTTTAGGATTCTAATTGATGGTTGTCTCTTTCTTAGCATGTTGTGTTCTTTCTGTACTTCATATTTGCACCACCCATCCTGATATCCTTACTGCTTTTTCTGAAATATTAATGTATTAGCACATTGTCCATTACAGAACTGCTCTTTTCTTTAGAAGCAAAATATCAGCATCATCAGATGATGATCCTTCTCACTGTGAAGTTGCATTAATGCTCTACAGAGTAAACAAATCTTAAAATACTTTTTGGGACCATCTGGTAACTTGGACAGTATGGAAGGAGATGATCATGTTCATGAAAACCTCAAAAGCAACCATTCAGGACCAGAGGGATTGTACACCTGCAGAAAGTGTTTCAGTAGGAGAAGGGTATTGTATGCTGAAGCTGAAAGCAATAAACCTGTGTGTGCATTTTCTAGTCCAGATCACTGTTGGTCTGGCCATGGTGATTGTTTTCCTGGCCAGGCTGGAGCAGCTTTCAGTGTTTGGGAATTCCAGCAAGCCAAGCTCCTCAGTTCCATGCTCAGTTAATGAAAGGCACTCCTTGTTTGTTGTGGGAGTGCACCTAGGGGTGTGTAAAAAAGAATTGTGCATGTGTGGAAGGATTAGGGCCCAAATCTGGGGAAAGGCATCCCAGGAGCCTGGGATGTGCTGCCAGACCTGCTGGTCTTCCCTCACTGCCAGTGCCAGAGGTGCCCCTTAGATCTGGTGTTTTTAACAGAATGCCACCTGCACCCAGCCAGAGCCCCACAGTGAGCTCAGCAGTGCCTGTGCCATCCTGCTCCTCTCCAAGGACAGCTCTGGAGAACAGGGACACACAGATGGATTTGTTCCTTAACAGCTGCTGGGAGACACTCAGGTGATGCACTGGTACAGGAGTCTGTGTCTGAAAGTTGCCTTTATTCAATAATAATGTCTTTACCATATTTCACTGCCTGAGAGTTGTGTGCTGCTCTCGTGTACAAGCTGGGAAAGGTGGTTTTGGGGAAGCAGGACTGGGCCTTTAATAGTTTTTCTAGCTGAAAGAACAACAGTGAAACTGCAGCCTGGCCTCTCCTACGTGGTTTCTGCAATTAAGGGCTGCAGCTGCTCTCCTTTTTTTGTCTCTGTGACGCAAATCAAAGCGCAGCAATGGTATTGCCTGAGGGGAGAGAAAGCTGCTGCTCGCTTCCCCGTGCTGATAACTGAGCAGTGATGACAAGAAACTGGGGCAAAGGAAAGTTCAAAAGCAGAATGTGAATATTACAAATGACTGGAGAAACACAGGTGCCTCTTCCTCAGCACGAAAGGGGAATGGAGCTGTGTGAACAGCAGGAGAAATAATCAGCTGCCCAGGGGATGAGGTGCTGGCCTGTAAAGTTTCTGTTGCTCAAAGGGATTCTGACATGGAAGCAAGTTGGGGTCTGTGTGCTAATAATAATTAATAATAATAAATTAATTAATAATTATTATATTAAATAATGTAATATGGTACAGTCAGCCCCATTTTAAATGGCATTGAGTTTCACCTGGTGACTTCAACCATAGGAACCTTGATTCTCTCACTTTCTCCTATGAGTCCACTTGGCACTTGTGTTCTGATGTCTGCTAAACGGTGAGATGTGATTCCCTCCTCCTGTAAGGGAACAGAAGCCCTGAGAGGAGGAGCAGCAGGACTTGTCAAGCAGAGGAGAGTTTGGATGTCCTGATGTCTTGAATCACGACCTGCTTTCTGCCCTGACTTCTAAATTTATTTCTGTGCCCATCCCAAGTTTGTGTATTTGTTCCCTTGCTGTCTAACCTGAATTTCATGAGTGTTTATTAAAGATAAATGTTGTGGGTTTGGTGTGGGACTGAAGTGAGACCATGCCTCATTTGGGCATCAGAGGTGAGTGCAGGTTTCTGTCAGGTGAGCTGGGGAAATCTTCCTGCAGGCTGAGTGTCCCAGCCCTGGCAGGGCTCGAGGCATCCCGGGCTCCTGTTCCCTTGTCCCACACACAGCTCGGCCACTTTGGGGGCTGTGAGAGGGCACAGGGTGACACCTGCAGTGCTGATCCCCTCCAAACCCTGACATCCGTGGTTGGAAATAAGACCTGCAAGAAAGCAGATTTCATTTTCCACAGGGACAGGATAATGTGTCTCTGTCATCTGCTCAGTGAGCATCCAACCCATCTCCACAATCTCAGGCACAAAATGAAGAATCAAACGTTGCACATGGAACCCGAAATGAGCTGTACCATGGAAAGGTTGGATCACCTTAAACTGGTGCTGCAAGTCCTGCCTGTGCTGCAGTCGCTGTGACTCTTGAGTATTTTCTTCTTGCACCAGCAAACCCCACATGCTGTCATGGAAAATAAATCCTCATCCATTGTAAGGCTGGGATGTAAGATTTCTTTTTTTTTGTTTTGTTGTTTTGTTTTGTTTTTAACTCCAGCTTTATTTTTTCAGCCAAGGCAGAAATAGAGTTCAGGATTGAATAATTACCATCAAGCTAACTAGTTTACAGCACTTGGCTTAAAATAAGGAAATAGTTCAGAAATATGTTTATATGTTTGCTACTAGCAATTTTTATTGGTAATAAAGAGGCTTGTTGACTTCTTTGCTGGAAATTCGATTTATGTTTTGGTGTTCATGGCTGCAAGCTAAGGATGTGCAAGTGTTTTATAATGGTCCCTTTTGAGCAGGACCCACAGAAGTGTTCAGGAGCTCTGCAGTCACCTGGAGGTCACTGGGGAGCCCACAAGTGACCTGCCCACACTTGCAGTTATTCTTCATCCTAAAGCAATGTGAGTTTTTACCTGTGGGATCCCTTCTCTGTAAATGTAATTTCCTCAGCTCTGCTGCAGTTCCTCATTTTGGTAGCTGTTGGCTTGGCTTAATGTAAAATACAATACAAGCATATTTTCACGGGTCTTGTCTTCTAATGTCATTTTTATATTATTGTGTCATTTAGTGTGATAAGGGAACGTTCCTTTCCATTGGATCCAGTTGTAACCATAATGGAAAGTGAAATTAAGATTGGAGTTCTGCTTCTTTTAGGACTCACTTCCTTCATGAGGAAAAGGTAGAGTTTCAAAAACTGGTGTATACTGAATATTTATTCGTGATGTTTTGTAATATTTGTTTCCCATCTTTCTGCTTTTTAAATTAGTTAGGTAGTGAAAGCTCACTAACTTTATTATGTCAAATCAATATTAATATTGATCTAATAGTAATAAACTAATAACTCCTGCTGTAAAATGCTTGAATATGAACTTCAAGAAGAATATTAAAATGTATTAGTCATTCCTTAAAGCTGACTGATATGCTAGGAGGTTTCACAGAAATAAAGAACCTAGATGGGATGCATGCAGTGCTAGCCTGATTTCAATACATTTTAAGTTTTTTTCCTGCTGTTTATAGTTATGATAATTGGGTGTTAATGACTTTCAACAGAGTCTGATGCTGCCTCTCTTTCTTTATTACTTCCTGCTCCTAATCACCCTTGCACTGGATTAATCTCCTGCACAGACATATTATTTAGCACAAAATTCCTTCCCACTATTTGTAGAATTTTCCAAGGCTTTCCAGTTCGTCAGCAAACAAACTATTTGTGGTTGTCTTTTTTTGTACTTGGCATTGCAAAGCGTGGCTGCCAGTGAAGCTCTGGAAGGACACTCGTGCTTTCCATTTCCCCGTGGGGGAAAGGCTGTCCCTGTGCCAGCTCCAGGGGTGATGGCCCCTCATCCTCTCAGCTTCACCCCTCTATGCTCCAGGGCTGCACTAATTATGGGCTGCTGCTAGAATCTGCCCCTTGTCTTAGTGACATCTCTTTTATTTAAAAAAATAAACACATTTTCCAGTTGGTATCGTACCTGTTTTTCAGAGATAAGACCTTGTCTTCCAAGTGATGTGAAATGCTCCTCCAGAGTGTTTTCTGATGTATAAAAAAGGCCTTGAACAAACCAGGATTTGTCCACTGGTTGTGAAAATGCTTGACTTACCTCCAGGCTGCACTATTGTAATGATGTAATCTGGTCCCCTGGGTCACTTACTGGACAAGGTGAGGTCAGATCTGCAGAAAAAATAATTCCCATGTTTGCAGTTCAGACTTGCTTTAAACAAATACAAAGACAATGTAAATGTATTCCAAAATCTGTGCTAATTTTATGGGGTTTTAGATAAATTCCAGTGGCCTACCAAATGGAAATGTCCCTTACCTTCCCTCTCCTGACAGGATGGTGCCCACAAACAGGGGTGCAGTCAAATGGTTCCTGTCACTTCCAGGGGAGAGGAAGATTCCTCTTGTGCCAGTACAGGAGCCTGTGGCTGTAGGGATGTGATTTTTTATGATACTTCAGACCCTTGGAGAGTGCTGGGGTTCACCTGCCCAGGTCCGTGCTGGGCTGGAGGGGACAGGAGCCCAGGGGGGGCTGCTCTCACCTGCCTGTGCTGGCCCTGGCACCTGCACGGGCCATTTGGGCCATTTGGGCCATTTGGGCCATTTGGCAGCCTGCAGAAATCCTTCCTGTCCCACACACCTGGCTGGGTGCTCAGGCAGCTGCACAAATCAATATTTGCAGAATTTTCCCTGTGTCAGGCACTTCAATAGCCAGCAGCTCTTCAGGATCACTTTAGGAGAAGCAGGGAGAGTTTGAATGGTAAAATGCCCTGTTTTGTAAATGGAAATCATTTATATATGTTTCCAAAATAACTTTTCATTTTCTCTGTTTTTATGTGAGCTTCAGATAAACTTGTTTTTTAATTACTTTCAGTATTTAGTATTTAAATTCCAGATTTTTTTGTTTGTTTGCTTTTCCTTCTTGAATAAATGTGTGGGCAAGAACCTAGCATTCCTCTCCACTCTTTACCTAATGTTAAAACACTGCAGCAGAAGTAACTAGCATTATCTTTTATTCCCTGTTTGCTGCT